TGTAAATTTTTAATTAATTTTCTGTTAAATTAAAAATTAAAATTTTCCTTTAATGAATTAATTTTTGAGATAAGCAATGAATAAAAATAGGGCAATTGAACATACTTATATTTTTCTGGATTTTTTAAATGATCATTTGATTTTTACCTGTGAAACTCTTTTTAAACTTGTATTTTTTATTATTATTTTGGAAACAATTAAATAATTATTTACTTATTTAATCCCTTAATTATTATCTGTTTTTGGCTTTTTTCTATTTTTGATGATTTTCATTTTTAATTACTTATTTGCGGTAAAAGGTCACATTTGATTAATATATAATATTACATATTAATATTTTTTTATCGATTTCTCTTTTAAAGTTTTTTTAATTTTAAAATTAATAAAATTGTTTGTGATGTTCTTTTCTATTAAAATTTACTAAATTTTAATGTTTTATTTAACGAATTTTCTTTTAAATAAATTTTTCCCTCAAATTTTAATCAAAAATTATAATAACTTTACAGTTCTCTCCCTTTATTTAATTGTCAGACTATCTAAATACTTAAATCAGCTAAGATATTTTCAGACTCTGTCCCCTTATGAGAGCTATTTTAAGGATATTTTAATAAATTTAAAGTAATTACGGAGTTATTTGAACTAAATGTATTCTATGAGGAGGGAGGACTGTTTTGAAATTTATAATTTTCAATTTTATAAGTCTAAAGGATCAACACCCCCCCCCTCCCATCAATTGTTATACATATTAAAAATTAGATCAACACTATTCTTAAAGATTTTAATATTTTTTGACTGATTCGATCAAAACACTCATAAATGACCTTCAAATCTTCTCGCGCATTGCACTCTTTGGTCGTTCTTATTTAACTAGACGGAATGAGGAGTTCGTCAAAGTCTTCGTCACTCTTTTTCAATCTATCGCCTATTTCTTCCAAAAAAACCCTCCTTCATCTCCTCCTCCTCCCCCTCGTCCTTCATCTCCAACAGAGCAAATGCCGCATAAAATTTGTTACAAGCAATGGAAAATCGGAGGCGTATAGGAATGAAGAAAAAGGGTCAAAACTAAAAAAAGAGGGAGGAGGGAGGGAGAAGGGAAGGGGGGAGGGTGATTTTGGGAAGGAAAATAATAAATTGGAATCGATTCAAATGGCGCGGCAAGATGACAGTCGACGATGATTGTTTAGTTCAGTGACAGATGATGGGGATATTTTTAGCTAAAAATTTACCCTTTTTTCTGTTTCAATTTTGACTTGAAATAATTTATAGATAATTCTGATTAGTTGAATTTTAAATTATTTTCACATTTTATTAATTTCTGATTTTATTTTATTTTTTTAAATATTTTTAAAAAATTTATTAATTATTGTTTCCTCCTAGCTTAGGCAAAAATGAAAACTACAATCGGTGGGAGCTTTCTTGATTGAGCTTCCATCGAATAACTCTCAGGATCAATTCCTTCCTATATATTTTTTTATTTTTTCCCTTATTTTATTTTGTCATTTATTAAATACAATCATTATTTACTTAACATTTTTAAACTTTTATTACAACGTCATTTTTTCTTTTCCTTAATAAATTAATCAAATCATTTCTGACATATTTTTGCAAATTTAATTAATCGAAACAATTAATTCCCTTTAAACAATAAATTATTTATTTTTTATTTAAACATCTTGTTTTTCTTCCATATTTTCAAAAAGCCTATCTTTTCTCTATTTCTTTTCACTTTTTTCTTTAAATTTCCATTCACCAACAACCATTTGAAAATGACGCGACAATAAATAAATAAATTTATTTATTTATTATGTGTAATTTATATATAAATAATAGCCAGCTGTTATTTTCCTACCAGATTTTCTTTTTATTTTACAAAACATTTTATGATTTTGATTTAAATGTAAATTAGAACAAAAATGGTTTTATTGTAGATATTATTTTTTTAATTATCAAGAAGGATTTTTGTCACGATTATTACAATATTGAATTTCGGATTTTATGGTTGGATTTAGATTCCCTAACATTTTTTAGCAAATTAGTTCACTATAATATAAGCTAATATATAAGGTCCAGAAGATGGTCAAATCCGGATTTTCCGGATTTTTTTATTCGGGAAATTCAGTCCGGACTAAACAAAATTTTGAAAAAATCCGAAAACCGGATCCGGTATTTTGCAAATTTCGAAGTAAACATAAAAATGATCATGTGCTTTTTTAGCGGTATACTAGGGGTGTGCTTATATTAGAGACTTTGCTTCTGGTATTAGAGCATTTACGGTATGTAGCAATTTGTTGTATGTGAGGATTTCTTTATTATTAAATGATTTCCTCAACAATTTAATTAATTTATTTTCTATAATTTTTTTAATTTTTATTTAATTCCTTTCCTTTTTTTTCACTTTTTCTCCCCTTTTGAATGACTAAACAAGTGTATGTGTTTTTAGAAATTGAATTGCTTATTTTCTATTTAATTGTGTGTGTATTTATTTGCGGCTGGTTGGTTAAATATATACTTTCTTCAATTAATCCATTAAATAATGGAGAAAGTAAAAGAAGTATCAATGAATGAATGGACTTTTCTTTATTTTTATTTAATTGTCCAGTTTTTCTTATCTCAAACAATTGTTTTTATTTTATAGAAATTTTAAAATATTTTTTTGTTTTTATTTATTTAATTAGCTGGAGATTTTTGTTTTAGTAAAATAGTGCAATCCGAATTTATTTAATTAAATTTAGCATTATTGAGTTTTGCTGAAAATATTTTCTCTTCAATTTTAATTTAACGTATTCTCTCTAATTAATAGAATGTCCGGGCATTCTATTTTTCAATCAACTTCAAAAGGGCATTTAACTTGAGGGGGGGGGGGCATTCAATTAGAGAGAATACTGTAATTATTTAATCTGATCTAGTTGAATTTCTGCAGTGATTTTTTTTATATTTTACGATTTTTTTGAGTTTTTTATTAATACATATTTCTTAATTTTTTTAAATTTTTTTAGTAATTCAATAATAATAAAATAAATATTTTCCGAAAAAAATTAACCGATTGATTCTCTTTGTTATTTCTCCCCTCTTTTCTCCTCTATTGACCATTGTTGTAGTTAACTAACAAAAAGAAAAGATTAACTGTTTGTCTTAAGTGCGCAAAAAATAAGAAACTTTTTGTTATTAGGTACTTGAAAACTCAACGACTTTTTTTATTAAACAAAAAAACTAAATATTCTTAGTTAATAAACTAATTCTTTAATATTTTTTAAAAGTTTTTTTTAGTTTTTTTCCTTTTTAGTTTATATCCCAATCCCCTCTCCTTTTCCATATAAATCCCCCCTTTTTATAATTCCCTACTCTATATTAATATAATCCCCCAACACATAATTTCGATAAAAATTTCTTTGAAAAATATTATTTTTTCTTTCATTTTTAGCAAATAAATTAATATTTTAGGTGGAAAATTCCGAAATATTATTCAGAGGGAGTAAGTTGCTTGAAAGTTAATTTTTAATTAAAACTATAATTAAATATTTATTTTTACTTAATTAGATATCAATGTAGGGGTATTCGGAAGTACTCTTTTATTCATTCAATTCTCTTATTTTTGTCTCAATTTTATTTACAAAAATAATCGTGTTACTGCTTCAAAAAAGTGATCCTTTGCTTTATTTAACAAAAATTATTTTTTATAAAATTAGCTTTCCAACTTTATATTTATCAACTTCTACATATTTTTTAAACATTTTGCTACATTTATTTATTCTCTAAATAAATAAGTAGTTTATTTTAAACAAAAAATCATCTTTTTTATCCTTTCAATATCTTCCGCGCACATCCGCTTCTTCTCTTCTTTTTTTGTAATCCCCTTTATTGAACAATAACAAAAAAAGAAGTATGGGGGCTCTTCATTTGTCCACTTGTTTAATTTTTTGTATAGAGTTATTCCTCTCCTTCATTTTTTTTGTATATTTTAGAGACCAACGAACAGATAATTAATTAACGATTTTATTTTTTTACATTAATTTATTTACATCTTTAATGAAAATTTTTGTTATTTTTAATTAACAAACTTTGAAATTTAATTTTTTTATTCAATTTGTAATTTTCAAACTTTTGTTGATTTTTTTTCTAATTTTTTATTAAACATTTTAAATAAGGTTGGACACAACCGGTAATTAACCGGTACCCCCAGTTTTCGGTTTAAAGTTTTAGACAAATACCGCTTTTATTTTGGGGCAATTTTTAACAGAATCACTCATTTTCAAAAATTTCCGGTATTCGGTTTTTAAAATTTTCTAAAAACGGTTAGTTAATTTTTGACAAAAAATATCAAAAATTCCGGTTTTAAAACCAACCCTACTTTTAAATTTAAGTAAAGGCTTATTGTGTTTTTTACACAAATTTCCTTAATTTTAATTATTTTTAAAGTTGCTTAATTATAACCTTTATGTTTTAGGTCTATAAATATTTTAATTTTAAAAATATGTTAAAATATATTAATTCTTTATTAATTTAAATTTTAATTAAACAACAACAACAAAAAAATAAATTATTAAATAATGTTAAATTCATTACCTCCACTACAACCATTACCTTTACTAATTTTGTTGAGGAAATGGATTTTTCTTTTTTATTTGCTCATATTTTGTAAGCATTTTTTATAGTAAATAAGCCTAATCCCTTTTAATAAATAAAAAGTTAGAATAAATCTTTTAGAAGATTTGGCACTACAGTACATGCTTAAATAAACGTTATTTAATTGAAAAATTGACGTTGTTTCTGTTACATTTTTCTGTACCGTAAATTAATTCCATGTAATCCTCAAAATAGTGGTTGAAGCGCAACACTATTTCATGACCAGTGTTTGGAATAAAGTAGCAAAATTCGTACTCGTACCAATATACGAAGTTCGAATACGAGCAAATTTCAATTTTTTCAAATTTCAAGTACAAGCAATTTCAAAATTCCAAACACTTTTCATAACCCGCTAAATTAAATCATAATAACAAATTAATTTAGTAATAACAATTGCTCACATATCAACACCTTCAACAGCTCAGCAACTTCACAATCAAAGGCGACGACTTAAACAAAGCAACAAATTATCGAAAGAACAAACGCCTATGGCTGTTCTGCCCCCAGCATTTTTATCATCATCTCAACAAATGGAAGAAGTTGAAGAAGGAAGGGAAGAAAGGGAAACAAGTAATTTGAATGATGGAGTAGATTCTAATGTTGATGATCAGGCAATAGAGAGAATATCTAGATCTTTAAGAATTGAAAAGGATCAGGAGGTGAATTATAATTATTTTACAAATTGTTCTTTAAAAGATACTTTTATTAATGGCCATAGTTGGTATTTAAATCGCTGACTGATAAATTTGAAAACTGTCATTTCAATAATAAAATTGTTAAGGATTGGCTAGATTCAAGAATTTTTTCTAGCCGACAAACGAACAAACGTTAACGTGTAGCAAAGACCCCTCATTCTCTTCCTAGCCTTCGTACTAGGGCATTAATAACTTTAATTATTATCTAAATGATAATTGGTAAAATAATAGGGAATCATCCAAATCATTAAAAGAACCTTTTTCTAATAAGTCTATTTAATTTTGAATTAAATTTAATTTTTGTTTGCTTACAAATTTTGTGAAGAAAGGATATTTTTTATTTAATTTTTAGTTTAAAATCATTTTTTATAAGGATCCATCACGCCTTCTTAATGTCTTTCTTCCACCAACTTCTCAAATAAATAATCGCCCAAATAGATTTCATCAATTTATTGCCAGAGTAACAGATGTATCTGTTGTTGAGTAAGTTTTGGGAATTTTACGAAATTGTGGAAAAATAATGAGAAATTTAATTTATTATTTTATTAAAAACTAGCTTCTGGTTTTTACAAAAGTTAAAATAAAATATTTTTAAGAAAGAAGGACACTAGATATTATAAAAATTATTTTTAAATATATTTTTAGCGATCCTCGAAGTTGGGATGTCAATAGAACATTTCTTGCATCTGTTACCGATTCATCAGTTATTAATGTTCACGGCCTCAATGCTGGCCATAAATATAAAGTTGCAATTCTTGGGAGAAGAGAAGCTGAAAGTTTATTAATTCGGGAAGAAGATGTAAAATTTTATTTTTTTGAGAATATTTCGTAAATTTAATTAAGAAACGAAAGCAATATAAAATCCAAAATAATGTCTTAATATATTTTTTCTATTTTAAAGATTTTGATGGATCCTGTTCCTTTGGATTTTGGTATTCCTAGTAATTCAACATCCATTCTTGTAACACAACACAATATTACATTAAGAGCACATAAACCCGAAAGAGCTTTACAGGCATTTTTATATATTTAAATCTAAAACTCCTCCCCCTCTCTACTCGTTCAGGATACATTCAGGATTGAGTATCACCAATTAGACCCTCTCAAACGTTTTCCTATACTTGACATTCACGATCTACAAGAACAACGTGAAGTAGAGCTTTATATTGGAAATTTATCCCCAGGAAGAGATTACGAAATTTCTGTAACTTCTTTGAGGGAAGAACTGCCAAGTGTGCCTTGGAAAGGAATTGTTACAACACGTAAATAAATTAGTTTATAAGTTATTTTAAATTAATTTTTAAGGTCCTCTAAAACCCGAAAATCTTAATGTTATTGAAATTAATTCTTCGTGTGTTCTTCTTCAATGGCAATTACCTATTGAATCGGGTGCTGATCGGTTTAAAATAGCTTATGGACTGTTACATGGTGCACAAGCTATGTTAAAGGTAATTTTGAGAATAAATTAATTTATGTCTTTTAGACTCGAAAATATTAATTTAGCCATCATTCTCTATTTGAAAATCTTTAAACTCTTTTATCTCATAAATAAATATTTAATTTTTTCAGTTAGAGGTATTATACCCCAAACAACAAATACCTCTTTGCCAACAAATTTTACCCGGCAGAGCTTTCATTTTTGCTGTAATAGCAGAAAAATCAAGGCAAATATCTGAACCTTCAACTACCTCACATACAATTAAACCTTTGGCTCCAAAAGATTTGGTTGTAGAGCCTGACTTTGAAAGGTGAAAAAAAAATAAATATTTTTTTTTGGAATATTTTCAATTAATTTAAGTTCACGTTTCCGTGTCAGAGTTAGTCTTGCCCCAGAGTTTGAATCACATACAGAGTCTGTTTATTTTATTTTTAAATAAACTAAATGTACAATTTTATAGAAAATGTCAAATTTCTGTTCAATCTGAGGATCAAAATGGGAGAAGTGAACAAGCTATTGTTCCAGCTAAAAACGGACAGATTTGTGAAGTAATTAATTATTTTTTAATCAGAAAAAATATTTTCTTTTTAAAGGTTTATTTCGATTTATTACCCGGTAGGAGATATGAATTTGCTGCAACGGCTTTAAGTGGATCATCTGCTTTTAGTACTAGAATGTTGAGAAATAGGGCTGTTGAACCAGGCTTTGATTTTGCTTCTTTTGGATTAAATTTGAGAGTATACCCAATGAATTTATGGAAGAAAATTAAATTTATTTTTAAGGAAACACCAAATAATGTCAGCAATTCTTTAGTTCTTGAATGGCCACAAAGTGAAGTAGCTCGTTTGAGGATTGCTGACCTTTGGGCCCGTATTGTGTTAGTTAATGGAATAAATAATTTTTAAAAATTTGTTTTTTCTAGAGGACGTGACTCTCATTTACATTTTTCTATTCAACCTTTTGACAATCCCGGCCCAACTATTCAACGGGAAACGGGCCCGACAGAGCCGTCTCCATTAGTTATTGATGGTTTACATGAGGGGGAATGTTATAAAGTGAGGAGATTTATTGTTAAATTTATTTTGATTAATTTAGGTTCTTTTGTACACTGTTACATCATCTGGAATAGGTGGAGAAATATTTTTAATTAAAAATATTTTTAATGCTTTTTAGTTTCTGAACGTCGTTTCGAACAATTTATTCGAAAAAATGCTCCTCAATTAGATTTAGCCGTTGGGCATCTTAGTTCTAGAGCTGCAACAATCCAAACTTTCTATGTTTCTGGAACTTCTACATTATTTGCTAATGGTAATTAATTTAAATATAAGGGGAATGAATTTTGGATTATTTGAAAGTTTACTAGAAATTTTTCTTCCTCCTTATGCCTCCCCCTAAACCTCATATTTCTTAAATCTAGCAAATAATATTTAATTAATTATTAGATAATCAAAACAACAACATTAGAACCTCCAAGAAAGAAAAACTAAAAATTTCCCCCCAATGCCAACTTCAAATACAAGTTGTCGACTCCCTAACTTCTCAACTTATTGTTGAACGTATTTTGACATTATCTTCTAATGAACAAAATTTACAAGAATTATCTACTTCTCAATTACCTTCTCTTTCTTTGGATAATCTTAAACCTTGGCGAAAATATGTTGTTAATGGAGAGGTTAGGGGGAATTATTTAGTAGTTACCGTACTTGTAGTAAATTATGAGAGATTTCTATACCTTCAAAACACTAATATAAATCCAAGGCCGACGTCAGGTCATTTTTTCGGGCTTCATTTTTTCGAGTCGGTTGTACGAGGCTTTTTCGAGCCAAGTATCTTATGCCTGACTTTTGGCATAAGATAACTGGCCCGAAAAACCCTAAATAAATCAACCAATTCAATTTTGTACATATTTTAATTTTTGAATTTAAAATTTTAATAGACAATCGTATCATTTTAAGAGGCATTTTACATTTTACTTTCAAAAAATAAGCGGACTTTTAAAGCTATTTATATTTTAATTATTTTATGTATGTACTTTCTAATAATTTTAAATAAAAAATTTAATTATTAAAAATATTTTTAGGTAATTTGTGGTGCCCAAAATCGACATTCTTCTCCATGTACCCCAAAAATGCACAGATTAACTCAAGTAGAATTTCGTACAGAATCTGCCCAGCCCGGACCTATTGTAATTTATTTTTGTTTTTTAACTTTAAATATTTTTTATTTTAGTTAAATTTTACTGTTCGCCCATTAAATTCGTAAATTGATTTTAAAAATATTTTTTGAATATAAATTATTTTTAGGTATTCTGCTCAATTAAAATGGGAAATACCTTCAGAACCGAATGGACTAATTAGTCACTATATTATTCAGGTAAATAAAATTAAGAATAAAATTTAATGCTCGTGACATTCAGTGGTACTTGTACTTATTCAGTGCAAGGTACAAGTACGAATTTTGGTACAAGCTTCCAACCACTGGTGACATTCGACCCTAACAATTTATTAATTAAATAAATTAAAATTCTAAAATACCTAATTGCTAATTGTAAAAAGGGAGAGAATTGTTTTAAAAAATTATTTTTTAAAAAATTAAAATATTTAGATTGAACCTCAATTAGAAAACGATAACAACGATTTACTTAACGAATTTGATAATATTAAACCCTGGACAGAGAAAGTTATTGTTCAAGAACAAAATAAAAAATTAAATGAAGAATTTAAACAAAAAGAATTTATTGAAAAAATTTTGGATAGATTGAAGGGGGGACATAAATATTTACTTCAAGTTTGGGCTGTAAATGAAGCTGGGCAGGGAAGGGGAAGTGAACAATTTAGTGTACATCAACCTATTTCTGGTAAATTAAAATTTTATTTTTAAGGATAGGAATTTGTAAAATTTTTGGAATAAATCCAAAATATTAAATAGTTTATTATTTTTTATTAATATTTTTTGGGTATCGGCAAAGTTTCGAGTTTTTTACTTTGAATTTGTACATACCAGGGATCTGGTCGACATGCTAAATAAATTCCATATTTTGAGAAACTGAATTCCTGTCCCAAAAAACATCAGGAATTTCCGAGGGAATACCTAAGTTAGTTTAAGTAAAGTAAAGCAGCTGGGTTATAGCTATTTCTCCCTCGTCTAGTGCAAAAGGTTATTCGGCGGCTGGTTACGAACCAGCATCTTCAGTAGACCGGACTGATGTGTTTTTCGAGAAAACTGGAGATTATCCATTACACCACGCGCCTTAGGAATTAAATAGCTATATGCTTTACAGTAATGAGTTAGCCAATTTTTTTTATTATATTTTTCAATTTGTATCATCTTATTAAACCGACATCACACAACCTGGAAAACACATCCATTAAGCTTTTAAGTCCTCTCTCTCTTCTAAAATTAATTTATAAATATAAATTTATCAGCTCCACCGCCTCCCGACCGTAATTCAATACAAATAGTCACAGATTCGATTAAATCAACAGAATTATCTGCTCGAATTGATTTAAGCAAAATTAGTGATAGAAATGGAAAAATAATTAAATTAGCCATTTTGGTAGCTGAAGTAGATATTAAAGAAGAAGAAAAGGAAGAAGAAGAAAATAATACTAAAAATAAACAAAAAAGATTTGATAATTGGTTGTTATTAAATGAAAATAATGGAACTGTAAGTTTAAATCTTAATTAAAGAATCGAGAAAATTGAGAGGGACGTACAAGAATCGAGATCCATATTTCAAAGAATAACCGGAATTTTTGTTCGAGATCTCGTCTTTGTTCTACATAGCTTAGAGTTGGCCGGGATCAGAATCCCGGTCGGGATCGAGCGGGATTATCCCGGTTTTTAAATCCCTATCCTGATTTTTCTGATCCCGAGGCCGAAAGATAAATCCCAATCCCGGTTTTCAATCATCACGAACCGGGAGCGGGATTAGCGGATCCCGATGAAATCGGAATTTTTTAAATTAGTGAGAATATTAATGAAACAAAATAACTAAATGGGCGAAGGAAGGGAAGTCTGAGAGAAAACAAAAGGAGAGAAAACTCCTGGGCCTTTGTGCTTAATCCTTGGCCTTTTTCCACTAGTCCCACCCCTGTTTAGTGAATTTACAATTCGTTATTGAGAGCTTTCGAATGAGGAACAATATTTTACACGAAAAAGTATTTGCAATATACAACACAGAAACATATACCTAGTTGTTTTATACAATATTTTTCTACTATTTATGCCGTTCATATTCAATTTCAATCCTTCATCGCCTCCCTTATTTCTTCTTCCGTTGGCATCTGTAAAATGGAAAAAATATATGTAGTAATTTAGAATTGGACCTAGACCCTTCGGAGTTGAGACTTTTGATGTCGAGGACGTTAACCAAAAAAGGTTGGGTTAAACTGGGTAGGGATCCAGCCTTATTTCATTTTAAATCGAAAATATTTTCAAACCTTTCCCATCCGTTCAAGTTGAGTAGTCTCATCTTCTGTGTCCACATCTGCCGTTCCCAACTCTTCAAACTCTATGAGGAATTTGTGTTTTCCTTTAGTTTCTTTGGTTGTCGGACGGAAGAGAATTATACCAGCTTGAATTTCAAGTTTACCAGTTGATTTGCCTTTTTTGTCCACAGCCTTTTCCAATTGCAAATGAAGAACACCGGCATAACTACCCTAAAAAGATTTAATTTTGGAGGGAAGGGTCAAAACAAAGAAACACCTTCGCTGCATGGTCCACAGCCCCAAACAGAGTAAGCAATCTCTTTCCAGCAAAGAATCCAAATCCACGATTGAAAGGCTGATGTGCACGCACAATGAGTTTAAGGTTGAGTCTTTCACATGTCGCATATACATCCTGAACACTAAAAAGTTTGGAGCATCCTCTTGGAACGTTCTTCTCAAAAGTTTGAACATCCCCCTTAAAAACAAAAATTATTTTTAGATTAAGAAAGAAAAACTCCTCACACTAGGATCGGCCCAAAGCAAATCTAATTGCAAAGAATCCTCAGTTGTTATATCCAAAGGAATTTTAATCTTTAAAGAAGTCATAAAAAATTGTTAATTAAAAATTTAATAGAAAAACCTTTGCAAGATCGCTAAGTTTATTTAATTTTGGCGAAATCCCTCCGTGCATGCAGAGAATGTGATCTTGAAAAAATTTAATTAAAGGCCTAGTTAGATCCTTAAAATACTTAAGAAAAAAAGGTTTAAACCCTTAAGTAAGGAAGCCAGTCAGTCTCAGGAATATGATGCAAGCGGAACTCCTGGAACTAACAGGAGATATATGATCCGATTCTTGCCTTTCATAACTTGATGGGAATCCCTCTAAAAAACAAAATTATCTCACCAGCAACTAGCGCAACTAGAGGAAAGCATCTAAACACTTTGTTGAAAGCTTTGTACACAGCAATGCTATCCCCATGATTGAATCTGGATTGTATCTCTTCGTAGAATCCATACACTGAATTGCATTGATCTAAAAGAAAATAAAATTATTCTACCAAATTTTTTGGGTGTTCAGCTTTTAATGACTGACCAGTTTCGTGATTGCCGCGAAGTAGATAAATCTGAAAAAATTAAGATGATTAGAGAGAGGGAAAATACTTTCACCTTATGTGGAAATTTGATTTTCAGACAAATCAACAAACAAGCAACCTCAACCGAACGATTACCGCGATCGACATAGTCTGAAAATTGATAAATAATATCTCTTTTAAACTTTGCAAACTCTCTCCTCTCACCTCCTAAAAACAAATAGGCCTTTTCACCAGGCGCTCCGCAAGCATTGAAGATTCGCAAAAGTTGTCGCCAATCCCCGTGAAGGTCCCCAACAATGTAGAGGGGCAAATGTCGAATTCTTATAATGCAGCTATCATCCTTGTAATGTTTCTTGATTGAATTCTCAGCAGTCAGACAAAGTGTTGTTATCTCACTTGGGTGGTAGACAATCTAATAAAAATGAGTGAAACGAGGCTTAAATTCTTTCCCCAAAATTACCCACCCTTTTCCTTGTGTAGCGCAAATGTTTATTCAGAAACTTGTCCAAGATGAAAGTTGGCTCCTTGAAGCTGTCCCCATTGTTGAAACTCGTAACAACACTCTTTGCGGCAGCAGAAGCTCCTGGGTCCACAGCTGTATCTGCGTTATCGTCGTCCATTTTTTCGAGAACGTTGTTGATTGTTTTATTGGTGTAAAGTCGACAGTGAGAAGTAGAAAGGAAGGTGGAGAAAATAATTTTACTGTACTTTTATATTGCTAGAATCTAGCAGGATAACAGGAGATATATGATCCGATTCTTGCCTTTCATAACTTCATGGGTCTTCTCACTGTCGACTTTACACCAATAAAACAATCAACAACGTTCTCATGAAAAATGGAAGACGACAACGTAGATACAGCTTTGGACTCAGGAGTTTCTGCTGCCCAAAGAGTGTTGTTGATCTCTATTCCAAATCCCGATTTCGGTCAATCCCGATCCCGCAGTTGGGATAGAGACCGGGATCATTATTCAAAAATCACGATCCTGACCAACTCTAGTTTAAACTTGTTAGGTTACACAACAAAACTAGTATAGCTATGTATAAGCAATTAAACTATAAATAATTAAAGGAATATATTTAAAATATTAATTGGGACATAATTCACAGAATTAAAAAAACATTATTTAAATTTAAAAAAATATTTAAAAAAAACCAATTCAAAAATTAAACAAAAATTTAAATTCAAACAAGAATTATGTGACAGATTTTTTAATAAATTAAATTTAAATTTGTTAAATTAGTTGCCAACATGGGGAATGGTTCGTCGTCATTCAACAACGAATATTTGGCCGCCATTTATTGCATTAGAATTATTACCGGATAATAAAAATCGTCGATTTTCTTCTCCTTCTTCTATTAATACCTCACCAGATATTTCAATTATTAATTCAATTTTTATTACGTCAATTGGCTCTGACTTTGAATGCGAAGAGAAATTAGCAGAACAAATTTGTAATGGGCCGTTGAAGGTAAAAAGGAGAAAAAATTTTTTTATAAAATTTTTTTATAAATAAATATTTTCCTTAAAAATTTCGTTAACAAGTTAATAATTATGGGAAAATATACTTAATTTTAATAAAAAATATTTATTTTTCAACCCAAAAAAATTTTAAAATTTATTTTTAACATTAATTAGTACCTCTCTTTTATCTGTGCAAAATTTTACGATTTTTTCGACATTAAAAAAATTATTTTTAATTTAAAATCTAGCCAATTCAACACATTTATTTATTTAAAAATTTTTTCTATCTTTGCGTGTTTTGAATTAATTTTAAAAAAAATAATTTTAAAATAATTTCTAGCCTGGCTCTGTTTATCGACTAAAATTGCGTTTATTTACTTCACAAAATCTTTGCTCTGATTCTCCATATACTGACCCAATACGTTTAGGTAAGGATAAATGTTTTAAATTTTTAATTTAAATTATTTTTTTATTTATTTTTTAAATATTTAATATCTCTTTCTATTTCCAAAATTTTTTTCTCAATTTCCAAAATTTAAATATTTTAAATTAATTAAAAAGTACTCTTATCTTTTCTTCAAAATTATTTTTTTGGCAATTTATTTCTTAAATTATTTACTTTCCTTTTCCACATTTCCGCTTTATTTTAAAAAATATAAATTAACTCAAAACAAGAAAATATTTTTGTTAATTTTCACGTGTTTTTAATTTTGTTTACCTTAAAAATTAAATCATCTTTTGAAATAAAACTAAATAATTAATTTGTTTATATTATTATAAACTTTAAAAAATATTTACTCTATTAATTACTTTCTCCTCTTATTTATTTTCTCCTTTAAAACAATACATACATATTTGCCTACCTAGATTTTTCTGTTTTTATTTATTTAAATTCAATACCAACAAATATCGCGGGTTTTACATATTTTAAAGTTGACTGTCCTTATTTGAATTTTTGGTAGGGAAAAGGTATGAGAGAAGGAGGGTTCTGGACACAAATTCTTCTGAGCGGTAATAAAAATAACAAATAAATTTGATAAAACCTCATATTTATTTATTTTACAGATTTTAAATTTAACTCAACAATATTTTAATTTTCCTTGTCTTTTTAATTTTTTTCATTTTCATTTCATTCAAAATTTTAAATTGTTTAGTTTAAATTTAATTGTAAATTGTATCCATAAATGCACGTATGTAGTTATTACTTTAGAAGCCATAAATGCACTTTCTTAGCGGCGCAAAAAAAATTATGGAAATATAGCGCAAAATGACATGAGAATTTCAATTAAATTATATCGATATTTGGCCAAGAAATTGTGCAAAAATTTTCCCTTATAATTCCAAATACAATATTTCCTTAGTTAAATTTTTGGTTGGGAATTAAAGGAGGAATTAGGTGTTTATTGAATTTGTTTTGATAATACTGAAATAATTATCCTCTCTAATAATTACCCCTTTAGTTATTTTACTCAACCTTTAAAGATATTTAAAGAATTATTATCAAATTTAATTATTGGAACATTTTAAGACTCAATATCAAGAAATAAATCAATTTCGCCTCAATTAAATTGAGATATACCCTATATCCAGAACATCCTCTCTAATAATTACCCCCTCAAGCGAGAGATTGAAACAATAATCCCAGGGTAATTATTTCAGCATTTAAGTTATGTGTTCATGCTGAGGAGAAATTCAAATACATAGAAGCACAATCGACTGTGCCAACCCGATGATGGGTTATTTATTTTCATTTATGTTCTTTCTGAAAGTGCGAACACAACAGATAATACCAAAAAATAAGAGCATAAAAATTTTTTATCAAAATTTTATTTTTTAATTCCCAAAAATATTTTTATTGTTTATTTTTAATCTTTTTTGGTTGTAGAGAACAGTTTATATATATATATTTTAAAATAATATTTTTCTCATCTTTAATCTTTTAAGGAATTTTTAAACATTTCATTTTTATTTTGTTTTATATTTTTAATTTTTAAAAATTTTTAAAAATAGTCTTTTTTTAATTCTTTTTATATATTAATTTTTATTTAAAATGATGTAATTTAATTGGATATTTATTTTCTCAATTATTTAAATATATTAGTAATATTTTTATATTTATCTTTTAAGTGCCAATTAAAATGCGTCACCGTTTTTAATTTAAATTTTTGTATATAATTTTTATGGGATATTTATTTAGCTTTATATTAATTTAATAAATTTTATTTAAAAATAATTTTTATTTATATAAAAAAGATTCTTGAAAATTTTGATTATTTTATGTTATTTATTATCTTCAATATACTCTGGTCCTGGGCTTTAATTTTAGTTAATTGTTTGAATTAGGAATATAAAAATACCCAATAATACATAGTAATCTTTTATTGTTGAAATTAAATTTAGTTATTCACAAATATCATTTTTATTTTGGATAAATCTTAGGGCTAGTTTATGTACTATGTATATTTCTCCCAAATAAAATTATTTGTTTTCGAAAAAATTTAAATAAAATAATTTACATACTTCCCTCATTATTCTTATTTTTTTATTCTTTTTTCAATTGTTTTAAACTTTAAGGTTTTTACACAATATTTAATTATATTCATATTCGATTAATGGGGGGAGGTTGGGGAAAATTTTAAATAAAAATTGTGTGAAAGTAAATAAATACTTAGAAGGCAGGAATAAATTTTTTTTAATTCTTTTCCTTTGCATGGAAAATTTAAAAGAAAATAACATGTTTTCAACTAAACAAAGGAAATACTTCCGGAAAAATTTCCGGAAAATCTTTAAAAATAAAGAATTTTCTTGTTTTTATTTTATATTAACAGTTTTTTAAAATTGTTTTTTTCCGTCCCCACTATTTAATTCCCACAACTATCATTTTGTAGAATTTTACTCACATAAAAATATTCCCCTTCCCCCTTATTTTCTTTGATATACTTGTCATTTTTATATTTCCGTCCAAACACCCACCTACCTGCAAACAACTCTTCAATTCTTTTTTTATTCACATTCAATTCACTAATATTTTATTTAACTCAATTGCTTAAATAATATTTATTTTTTGTCCAAATTTAGTCCTTTTATTCTTTAATAAAGAAAAGTTCCATTTTTTACATGTCACCAATTTTTAAATTTATTTAATACAATTAAAAATGTCAAGAAAATATTTTTTTTAATTTCTTCTCAGAATTTAACCTTAATCCCTCGATATCATTCAAAACCCCTATCTCTTTGTTAATCCTCAAAATCCGACGATGAAATATTATTCTTTGATTTACCACCCGAAGCCCGGAGCCAACATTGACCGGTCGGCTCAGGAGGAGCCAAGGTTCAAAACAGCTCGGATAGCCGTAAACAAAATATACATCAAATACCAAACACTGTTATCGAACAATAAAAGAAAATATTTAAAAATATTATTTAACTTTTAGCGATGTATTATACCAAATTTTATGTTAAAACGAGAACTTGAAAATCTAGATAAGAAACAAGGAAATTACACTAGATACATAGGTTCTCGGGAGTTACAAAATTGAATGTAAAATTGGTTTATGAAATCTGGGGTCCATGCAAACGAGAGATCCGAGTCTATAAATTATTGTGGATAGAAGAGAAAGGAAAGCCTCTTTTTTCTTTCCCTGTATAAACAATTAATTTAATTTCTATAAATATTTAATTTCACTCAATTAGAATCAAAAATCTTTAACTATTTTCGTCATTCTTTTAAATGTTTGTCTTTTGGCTTTGTTTGTTTTACTTTTTCTTTTAAATTTCCCCATACATTTTTGTCAATTTTTCTCTTTTTTATTGCCCCTATTTACTTTATTTTTTTCTCAATTTTTCTTTATCTGCCACTTCTTTCTTTTTTTCTATTTTAACCTTCTCTTTCTCTCTTTTCTTCTTTTAATTCAGTTAGCCACGCCCACTTCCGGTTGCGCCTCTTCTCTAACTTGTTTGCGTGTTTGTTTGTTTATATACTTTTTATTGCCAGCCATTCTATATATTTTTTCTCTAATTTCTTTTTTACCTTTTTTTATATTAACATTCTCTCTTTCCTTATATGTATTTTTTATTTTCTCATTTTCTGCCAGCCAACCTCTTCACTCTCTCTCCCGCGCTTTCCAGTAAAAAATACGTGGCGCTGAAGGGGAGGGGGGGGGGGTGGAGGGAGTAAACTGGGCAAGCAGCACATTGCCTTTTTTCACTTCACTTCCGTTGTAGAGAAGAATAATAGCCCCTTCTCTCTCACTCTTTTGCTAGTTGAGAGAAAAAAAAATATTTTTAAAAAATTCTCAAGAAAAAAAAACAAAAATAAAAAAAGACCCTTATAGCTATTTTGTTTCTGCTATTTTTTTATATTTTAGCATTTAAAAAAGAGGGCTTTTAGTTTAGAGCGAGAAAAAGCCGAAAAAGGAGAATAAATAAAAAAGAATTTTACTAAATTACTCTTCCAAGCCTTTGGGGGATTTCGGAATCCTTTTTCATTTTCCTTCTTTCCTCTTCATTTTTTTACTCCTACGCTTTTTCTTGGTTGTTTTGACAGAAATGCTATTTACATAAATTTATTTTTTATTTTTGCTAAATTTACATATTTCTTTGCTGTTTGATATATTGATTACATCATTTAGATTATCTGATTTAAACTTGAAATTTTAAAAAATAAAACTCCTCTTTTTATAGTCTTAACCAGGGATCGCGCCGACAGAAAACCAAATTCTTGATTTTCGGGAATCGGTCGGCGTGATCCCTAGTCTTAGCTGAACTTGATATCTTGGAAACCAATTATTATAGATTTCTAGTCATTAAATTATTAAATACCCACTAATTCCTAAACTCTTTTCCCCCATTCCTTACTAAAATTATGATTAAATTCAAAAATAAAATTCAAAAAATTTTTCTTTTTTCAGAACTTTCTGCCAGCGAATCCTTTTTTGGCCAACCAATAATATTTATTTTATTATTATTTTTAATAATCTTTGGCTGTACCGGATTTGTATTATTTTTATTAGTTACAAAACAAAGAAATAATAAACAAAAAACTAAACAACAAATTAAACAACTACAACGGCCAGAGAGCGACAGGTGGATTTTTGTAGTATTTTTACTTGATATACATATAATATTCTGTTTATTTTAGGAAAATTTTTATTTTTTAAGCTTTTATTTAATTAATATTTTACATATATTTATTGTTTGTTTCTCTTTTTTTAAAAGATAAATTCTGATTTTTTCTGATATTTTTCTTTTCTGATATTTTTCTGATATCTGATATTTATTCTGATATTCTGTATTATTTAATATTCTGATATTTTATAATATTCTATATTAATATTCTGATATTCTGTTTATTCTGATATTTTGTATTTTTATTGTATTTTTGACTTTTCTGATTTTTCTTTGTGTGCTGGTTCATTGTTTCTAGTTCAGTTTTAAATTTTATATTTTTTTTAATTTTAAAATTCAAAAAAAAATTTTCTTTTAATTTAATAAAAATTCTAATTTTCTAAATTAAAATTAAATACATATGTATTTTTATTAAAATCTTTTTCAAATAAATTTCTATTTCTGTACATATCTTTTAATTCCTTTTTAATTTCTTAATCTTTCATCTTCTCGCATTTTGGCACTTAAATAATTATTTTTTCTAAAATATTTAATTATCTCTCTCAAAAAAAATTAAATACTTTAAAATAATTTTTACTCTAAATGCCAATATTTTAAAAGAAAGTTTTCTTTTTTTTTATTTTCTAAGAATATTCTCGAAGAATATTTAATAATAATTCCCCTCCTCTCCTTTCTTCTCTTTTTTTGCTTCTTTTCTTCTTTTTCCGGAAATACCGGAAAATTATTTTCTCTTTAAGGAGTGCTCAAAAGAGAGAGAAATTTGTGTTAATTGCCTGTTGATATACCCCCATATATTCGCAGAATTATAAAATTCTTAAATTAACTTTTTTTGTCATTAAATACATAATTCTTTTGTAATTTTTTCCAAAAATTTTAATTTTTTTTAATTGGTTAGTAGTCAAAAAATTTTACTTTATTTTACGTAATAGTGTAGTTAATTAGCAGTCAAATAAGAAAAAATTCCTTTTAAAAAGATTTTTCCAAATTATTTAAATTTTTTAATTAACAGAATATACCGTAAATGCTCTAATCGAAGCACATGTGCTTCTATTTTTCGATCCTCTCGTGAGGTGTGCTTCAAATAGAGACTGTGCTTCTATTAGAGCATTTACGGTACTTAAATTTTATATCAATTTATTTTTCATAAATTCCTTTTTCTTTTACATATGTAAATGTCATATTCTGGACTTTCATACACCCAAAAATGTCTTTAAAACATATAATTTCCACATCCAAAACCTTTCATCTTCGTTCGAACTTAATTCCCCAATCCTAACATTTAAAAGCATTAATTTTCTTTTATAAAGTTTATTCTTGTGATAAAAAAGATTAAATATATATGTAAAACACTTAAAATAGTCCCCTCCCTGCCAGCTACCTACTATACATATACCTAAATAATTTGTACTTTTATAAGATTTCTTTTAAATTTTCTCTTTGAATTTTTAAATTATTTTTTATATAGCAACATTTTAGACATATTTTAAATTTATTTTATACTTTGCACCTTTAAAGATGATGTATTTTGAATTACAAGAAACTAGTCATGAGCTTTTTAATTTTCTATGTATTTCAAACAAAAAACTTCTCGAGGATTTTGTGATTTGAAAAAGAGGTTGTGTCTAATCCCGCAAAATACCATTTCCGACGAAATTTGAATAATTCAAATATTTAATTATTTACTTTGGTTGTAAAGTAAATAATAAACTCTTCCCCCCTCCCCCTAAAATTTTTTTAAATGTTTACTTTAAATAACTAAAATGTTTATTTAAATATTTCAATTTGTTTATTTTAGATTTATTTTTAATTTTATTCAGATACAATTTTTAATTTGTTTTCTATTTTTGGAAAAACTATGAAAGAGATCTTTTTTATATTATTAAAATATTCATAATTTTAATATTTCGTCGTAAACAAACAAAAAATTTCAATTTAAAATTTTCAAAATTTATTTAAATTTCTTTTGTGTTTATTTTATTTAGGGAGATTATTTTTTATTTGATTTTTGTTTAAATAATTCTGGATAGTTTAATGTTTTTCTTTATTTTGAAGTGAATATTAGTTAAATAATTAATTCTTATCTTCATAGTACATGTTATTTATATTCGATAATAATTTAAAAATAATTCCGGTACAGGAAATGTATTTATTTATTTTTTTTTTTTCTTTTTCTAATTTTTTCTGTTTAAATTATTTTATTTGTTTTAAAAACTTTTCTTTAAATTTTCTTTTTCACATTTTTACGTCATAAATAAATTCAAAAATATTTTTTTCTTTTTCATTTTAGCAATCAAAGTCCACAAAAACGTCAAAAACATAGCAACAAAAATAACAATCAAAATAATTTTAATAATAGACAAAACGGCACAACAAGAAGTAATAAAAGTGAAGGACAGTGGCACGTGCTTAAGGCAAGAAAATTGAAAAAATAATTTTTAATTGAACTAGAAAATATGTTAAAACAATTATCGTTTATTGTAACTAAGAGTAGCGGATCCTGGGAAATCTTCTGATATCCGGATTCGATATCCGAACCGAAATTTTCGGATATCCGGATCCGCCCACCTTAATTGTAAAAACAGAAACACTGTTTATTACCTTTAATAGTTTTTGTTTACATTTTTGGCATTTTTCATATATTTTTTTAAATTGGGGTCTAGGCAGAGTTCGGTCGGAAATGACAAAGGTACCGGAAATCGGAACTGTCGGAATCGGAAATGGCTCAAAAGTCGGAAATCGGAGTTCCGGCCGACCTCTGGTCTAGGGTCTGCATTAAATACAGACTTTGTAAACCAATTTTAAAATTAAAATACTTTTTTTAGATGATAATGGCTGAACGTGCGGTTGGTTTTTAAAATTTAATTATCTTTTTTATAATAAATATGTATCTTTAAATTTTTGTCTGATATATTCTGTTAATTTTAAAAACATTTTTAGGCTGATTGTTTAGCAAAATTAGGCTTAGAACAGCCCCCACCTCCTCCTCCACCTCCATCAACTATAGCAACAAACACTCAATCTTTATCATCCCTGGGGAAAGATGAACAACAACACCACCAACAGCAAGCAATTTCTGTCAATTCCCCCTCCTCAAATTTTGGAAAGCAACTTTCTTCTAATTTATCACATTGTTCCTCCCCAGCTTCTTCCTCTTCTTCTTCCCCTTCTTCCTCATCTCCTTCACAACAGCAACATTTATCAAATGGAGGTGGTTATGTGCTTTGTGGGGGAACGGGAAATCAAGATCAATTACTTTTTGGTGCTCCACATCATAGAAGGTATTTTGTGGAAATTAACTTTGAGAAAATTTGTGATTCAAAATAAAAAATAAATTTATATAAAAATATTTTTTGATTAATTTTCTGATTATTTGACCAATCTTTTGTAATATCCGTTGTAATCTTTTACACCAAATGAGTGTCGGATTTCCTTAAAAGATTTTCCAATTCCAAATCCCAATATTCGGAATAGCTCCGATTTCCCTTCTTCCGATCCATCTTTCGATGATAAATACCGATCGAGTATTTCGGTTGATACTTAATTTTTATTATATATTTTGAATGAAGATATTTAAAATATAAAATATTCTTTAAAATTTTTAATTATTAAATTTTAAATAATAAATTTTCAATCTTTCTTTTACAAAATTTATTTCTAATTTTTTTCTTTTTTAGATCAAAAAGTTTGCGTGAACGGACAGGTGTCGATCAACGTTTGGCACGTTTGCCAAGTGGTCCCCCTCCTGGCCAAAGACATTCCACACTTTTATGGACGGTGCTCAAAAATGGAAATATTCCGCTAGAACGTAGTCGTCCTGTGCAAATTAGTGATTTTATTGGTACGGAATTTTTTGAACTTATTTGTCTTGAAATTAGTTTTTGTTTGTAATTATTTATTAGAAGGGAATTTTGTTTATAATTTCAAAAATGTTCCGTAAATTTATTCTAAATATTCTGATTTAATTAGAATTTTTTGTGTTTTTTATTTATTAATACAATTACCAGAATTTATTTATTTTCAGAACATGTTCGTTTAATGTCTGCAGATTCTGATTTTCGATTTTCTGAAGAATATGAACAATTACGAAGTGTTGGTTTAGGTCAGAGTTGTATTGCTGCAGATTTAGCTCCGAATAGACCAAAAAATCGTTTCACAAATATTCTTCCATATGATCATTCTCGTGTAAAATTGAAACAAACAGATGACGATGATGGGTAGCTAATTTTAATAATTCTGATTTATTTTTTACTTTAAAGTTCTGATTATGTCAATGCTTCATATATTCCTGGTTTTAATTCTCGACGTGAATTTATTGCTGCACAAGGACCTTTGCCTTCAAGTACTTATAAAGCTTATAAATATTTTAAAAATTATCACTAAAGGTTCGGTCCAGACTCCGACCTTTGGGGATGGGCTGAGTTTAGAGTGGTACATAATAGAAATTTCTTTTTGTTTGGGTGTCTAAAGCATGTTTTCGTTTCAACAATTTTGAGAATTCTAGAAGGTCAATCTAAAAACTCGGTTCGGGTTTTGGAAAAGAAAATTCCACGGGTCGGGTTTCGGGTCGAAAAGAACCAGTTTCGGGAGCCCGGTCCAACTTCGCTTTTTGGAGTCACTTCATGATGGCTCTTGGCTCCGAGTTATGCCAAGAAGTCAACTTTCTTTCAACAGTCTTTAGGGCTGTATAGCCAGAGACACGGAGAAATGAAAAATTTGAGCTTCGTCTCCGAGCATTTTAAAATCTTAGCTCCGGTCTATTATCTCTGAGCCATACCCAGCGTTGCTTAATTATTTTATTTAGCTCGTGATCATTTTTGGCGATTAGTTTGGGAGCAACAAGTACCAGCAATTATAGCGTTAACAAAATGTGTGGAAAAAGGACGGGATAAATGCCATCAGTAATTTTTTTGTTTTTTTTTTCTTCCTCCAATAATAATAAAATAATAATAAATATGGTAGTAGTATATAGTATACTTTCTGGAAGTAAATAAATATAAAAAATTAAAGTGGTTTTGAAATGAAATATTTTTATTTAAATTAAATATATTAGCACAAAAAATGGAAAGGATTTAATAAATATATTTTTAAAATAATTTTGTATTTAATTTATAAAAAAAGGAAAAATAAATAAATAATATTTTTATAAATATAATTTTAATCGGATTTTCTATTACAGTAGTAGAATATTTTATTTTTTTAAAAATGTTTGTTTTTAATAAGAAAAATTTTTATTTATCCAGACTGAAAATAAATTATAAATTTAATTTTTAATTAGATATTGGCCAGATAATCGCCAAAGAAGTGTTCTTTATGCAGACATTGAAGTTACATTATTAACTGAATCTATTGACTATGAAGAATTTACAATTAGAGAATTACGTTTAACAAACCTTTCAGAACCTGGACAGCAACCCAGAACTGTTTTACATTTACATTATCAAGTAAAAAAGAATTTTTGGATTTTTTAAAATTTTTATTTTTTTAGGCGTGGCCTGATTTTGGAGTACCTGGTTAATAAATTATAATTAATTATTTAATAATTAATTTTTAAATTTAAAGAACACCCAGTCGGAATTGTTCATTTTGCACGTTTATTTCGCAATAAATTACCTCCTTCCCCTTCCAATAAACCAACCATTGTGCATTGTTCTGCAGGCGTTGGTCGTTCTGGAACTTTTATTGCATTGGATAGGCTTATTCAACATATTGGTAGGGTAACTGAGAAAAATTAATTCTGATTTTGTGTGTTTTTGTAAATCAGACAAATACATTCTGATAAAGTGTGTGTTTCTCTTTTGTTTGTTCTGATTTTACAGCAGAAATACATATATAAGAAGTACAATAAATTCTGATTTTTAATTTTCTGATTTTCTGATTTTAATTCTGATTTTTTATTTTATTTCTTTTTTGTGTTTTATTTTCAAAAACAGAATATTCTATCTTTATTTTTGTATTTATTTTCTGATTTTTTAAAATTAATTTTTTTCTGATCCAAAATAAATTTCAGAATTTTCCTTTTACTTTTCAGAATGTGGTAAACCTATCGATGTATTTGGGGCAGTCTTCGAAATGAGACTTGAACGTTGTCATATGGTGCAAAATGAAGTTTTAACTCATTTTTATTTTAAAACTAATATTATTTATCCATTTAATAGCAACAATATATATTTATCCATCAATGCCTTCATTATGTTCTAGAAAATTTTTATCCATTTTTGTCTACCAACAATTTAATAACAACAACAATAATTCCCCCTACCCCAACAACAACAACCACAAATTCTTTATTATTAAATTCCCAACAATTTTCACCTGGAAAACGTTCTTTTCCCCCAACATTTTCTTCAAATAATAACGGACATTTACCCTTTACTTGTTCATATTCTTCACCAATAACTAGTTCCCCACAATTAACAACAAATAATCGAAATAATGAAAATACTAATTTTTGGCAAACAACAAATAATTTCCAAAATTTTCACCAACAAAAATCCCCAAGAATTGATTCACAACAACAACAAAATCGCCAAAATTTTCACAATAATGAAGGATTTTTTAAAGATGAGGATATCGATGAGGGGATAGCTGAAAGTGGATTATAAAATTGGAAAAAAGAAAAATATTTTTTTTGGATATTTTTTGTTTTTGTTTTTTATTTAAAATGGCCATGATTTTTATTTAAAAAATATTTTTTTAGAATTTCGAAAAGAAATTTTTAAAAAAAAATTATTTTTTCTTAGAATTTTCGAAATTTAACAAATTAAAAAAATAATAATCATTCGGGTTTTAATTTAAATTTTTTTTTATTCATTCCTATTTTTCTTAAAATAAATAATTTTTAAAAAATTGTTTTTTAAAAAAATATTTTTATTCACTAAATATTCATTTTATTTTAATTTTACAAATTCCTGAAAGTTTCTTTAGAGACTTCTTATATAAATATAGTTTACCTAAATTAAAAATAAATTAAAAGGAATTTTTAAATCAACTCTCTTTTCTCTAAACCTACCTAAAAAATAATTTGAATTTAAAAGTTTAACATTTGTGAAGTAACCCAAACTGTTCAATATTGAAAAGGAGGACAAAAATTTTTAAATTTAAATTTATTTTATTAAATAAAAGAAGAAAATTAAAATTAATTAATTAAAAGACGTAGACATTTAATTTATTTATCTGTTTATTAAAATTGAATTTTTATTATTTTATTTAATGTTATTGTTTCTTGAAATTAAAACAAGGAAATAAAAAATTTTTAATTTAAAAATTAATTAAAAGGACATTGAAGAAATAAAAAAAAGAAATAAAAATTGTTTTTAATTTTTTAAATTTTAAATAATAAATTAGGCAAAATTAAAGTCATATACTTATGTAGGTATAAATATAATTAATTAACCGGTCTATATTTAATTTAAAAAGTTTTTTAATAAACTTATTTAAACGTTCCTTATCTCTTATTAATTTTCATTAAATAAATTTAAATTTTTTATTTAATTTAAATTAAAAAAATATATTGTTTAATATTTTTCAGAATTATCAAAAAAAATTTTTTTTTGTCTTGGACTTGGGAGAATTTATTTTAAGGGATTATTTGTCAAATTTTTTAAAAATATTTAGACATTTAAACTAAATATAAATAAAAATTAAAGTCTTAAAAAGTTAGTAAATATATTTCAAAATTTAGTAATTTTTTTTAATTGTCACTACAAATTTTATTTAAAATAAAATTGAAAATGTTGACAATTTTGACACTTTTTCTTATCATCTCCATGATTTCATTTCAAATTACAAATGCCTACAATCCATATAAATATGGACCTATCGGATGGGCGGTTAGTTTTTTTAAATTAATTTTTTTGGACAATAGAAATAGAATATGTAGTATTTATAATAAGTAACTAGTTGCGCTAAGAAATAGACGAAATCTTCAAATTTTTATCAATTTTTGACTTTTTGCATAAGTCTATTTTTGCTTATTTCAAACTATTTAGAAAAATTTTAAAGGATTTTTCTAAAAATTGATGTCCTTACTTAGTTAAGGATTTTTATTGTCTCGGGTTGTTAACATCACAAGTTAAGAACACTAATTTAGTTGGTGCACAGAGGCGACACTGGAGGCTATCCTGTAAGACAAAGTGGAGGATATGGATATGGCAGAACCAGTGGATATGGATATGGTAGAACCAGTGGATATGGATATGGTAGACCTAGTGGAGGATATGGATATGGCCAGACTAGTGGAGGATATGGCGGAAATAATTATGCTAATAGCTATGGATATCCAGCTGCTAGTCCTAACGGATATCCTCCCAATTATGGATATGGAAGACGTTGAAAAGGTGGAAAGTGAAAATACGAAAGACAAATTTAAAAACAAGAAAAGAAATTCTGCTAAGAAACTGGCACCCCCTGTTGGATATGGACAGTAGTGGTTACATTTTATAAAGATTACATTTTATAAAAAAATTCTATATAATAAAAAATTCCGTAATTTTTTATATAGTACATATAATAAAATAGATAAATTAATGAAGATTCGAATTTTTAGTTGTTTGTCGAGTTCTCTTTAAATGTTAAGTTTTGTTAAAACATTAAACTACAGTTGAAATTTGGTTATTATACATAATATATAAACAGTAAATTTATTAAAATATTTATTCTTAAAATTATTTGTATATTCAAATAAAATATTTAATATGAGCAAATGAGGCAAAAAATCATTCACTATTAAAATAAAAAAATATTTACAAAAATAATTAATAAAAATAAACAAGAAAGTACATTTAAAAACCGACTATTTACAAAAGAAAAATTAAATTCATGAATTATGAATACTTAAAGAGAAAAATTTTGTAGGGTAATGAAAGGGTAAAATTATGATAATTTGGAGTTAGATAATCGGAAATCTACCGGAAAAATGGAGTATTTACAAAAAAATACCTTTAATATCTTTGAAAGAAGTATTTTCTAATTTAAATATTAAGTGGGAGAATTAATATATTTAAGTAAAAGATTGAGAAAATAAAAGAAAATTAAACATTATTTTGTGTTTTTATTTTTTTCATTAATATTTTCCTCAGCTCCACTTGTATTTGTAGATGCTTCATATAATGTAGAAAGTGATTCGTGATAATTATGTATTGTTGTTTGTTGTTGTTTTTCTTCTGGTTGTCTTTTGTTTTCAGAACTTCTTGAAGTTGGAGATGATGATGAAGAGTTGGGACTTGCTTCTGAGGAAGAGGTAGAAGAGGAAGAACAACTAGCAGCATTATTATTTAGATTTTGAGTTGTTTTAAGACCCTTAAATAAAAAAAATTAAAATAAAATATGAATAAATTTAAAAAACAGAAAATTAATAAAAAATAAAATTCTGGACACAAAAAAAAATAATTTTAAAAAATTAATTTTACATTTAAAGCATCCACTTTTTGTTTTTTCATATCAGAATCAGGTGGAAGTGTTATCATAAAAGGATTAACAACACTACTTCTACCACTATTACTGCTATTAGAACTACTATGTCGTTTAGATAGAGGACAAGCTAATTGAGTTCCATCACCATCAAAAGGTGTTATCTTTAATTGAAAAGAAGGAAGTTTTTTTGGATTTTTTAAATTTTATTTTTCTACCTCACAAGGGGGCCCAATAAGTGACAAAAGTACTGGCAAAAGAGCTAAACTAAAAATTAAAGAAATATTTTAATTAAAAAATATTTATTTAAGTACCCATTAATTAATCCTATAATAACTAGAGCAGACATTACAACAAAAAAATATTTAACAACAAAATCAAATTCAGAAAAGGCAAGCATAACAATGCCTAAAAGGGTTGAAAGACCACCATGAATTACAGGAACAAACATATGATCCTTTATGAAAAAATATTTTAAAAAATATTTCTTTCAAAATTTCTTTACCAAACAAGAAACCATCCTTTCATCTCTAGTACCTAAAGAAGTAAGGAAAGCAAGAACAACGTGTGCAGTAAATTCAACACCTATTCCAACAGCTGTAATTAAAGTAACTGCTGAGATTGGATTCATTTTAACTCCAAATAATCCCATAAATCCAGCTAATTCTACAGTCATCGACACAACAATAATTGCTACCATAGCAGCTGCCCAAGGATTAAACTAGAAAATTTTTAAAAATATTTTTAAAAATTTTTAGAGAAAAATTCTCCTTACAATTATAACAGAAATAACCAAGAGAACTGCTGTTGCAATTGTCTAATAAAAAAAATTTTTTTAAATTTTTCTCAAAGATTTTACCAAAATCGAAACAAACAAATAAAATGTCAATTGCAAATATTGTTCCCAAAATGTGAATGGAATACCAGTAGGATAAACAGGGAAACCATCAGCTGTATAACGATCACAAATGGCACGGATTTCTTTAATCTTTAATTTAAGATAATTTAAAAATTAATTTTTGTTTTATAATTTTCACCATTTGAACAATTGCAGGTGTTTCAGTTAATCCATTCATATAAAACGGAATTTGAGAATAAATTAAAGGTTCTGCTTGAGGGACAACACCTTCCTCCTAAAAATAAAGTTAGAATATTTTAGAGATTATAAAACAAAAAACTTACTGAAGGAACAAACCGCCATCCTGGAGGAGTTGGAAAAAAGCCTGCTTGAGAGACATAATACCTGAGAAATAAGATTAAATAATTAATTTAAAAAAGAAATTTACATCATATTATCTAAATGAAACCAAGCAGTTAAATAATTATAAAATCCAGCAGAATCGATAATATCCTCAGAATCAATAAGTCGAGTTTGTAACTAAAATAAATCAAATAGAGCAAAGATAAATATTTATTTACTTTAGTAGAACAATTATATTCTTCTCCCCTAGAACAAAGTAATCTTCTAGCCAGATAAAAATCATCAACAAGTGTGTAATTAATAGCTAAAGAAGAGGCGGCAATTTGGGTAAGACTATCAGTTGGTTGGATTCCAACACGTCGGGCTTTGTCTAAATGGGCTTGAAGTGCATGAAGCCAAGTACGCATAAATCTAAAATTGAAAGAAAGTTTTTCTGAATTTTTGAGACAAAAATTTAAATTAATTTTTACATCATCCAATAAGCCTCTGGCTTTCCATCCGCTTTGATAACAAATTCAGATTGAGCTTAAAAAATATTATTTAAATTCCGAAACCCAAGATCAGCTAACCAATATCAGCCCTCAATTGTTCCAATTTCCTTTGCTGTCTAGAATAGTCAACACCCGGTCCCATAGGAACAATAAACATTGGATAGAAACTAAAATATTTTTCTCTAGCTTTTAAAAACGCAGCTGGAGCTGTATCTTCAGGAAGAACATCAGCCAATTCTAAACCAATTTTTGATTGGTAAAGGCCTATACAACCAAAGAGAAACATTGAAGAACAGCAGAAGAGAATGGTTGCCTTAATAAAAAAGTTTAAATTAAATATTCAAAAATAAACGGAAAACATTTAAGTTCGAAAAAAAAAATTTTAAATAAAATTCGGGAAATAAACACAAGAGCTTAACAACAGTTTAACTACAGGGCAGGATTAGAATCTGCGACAACGCAGACAGTACTCGCTCTGCCTTGTTCAACAAATACATGTGTTCTACCACGAGTTACCGGGGCAATGACTAATGCTTTCTCTTTTATCCTTATGTTCGTTTAACCCCCGCCTAACTAAGCGTTTATAATGCTGCTAATTGTAAGAAATTCTGATTTATAAATATAAAAATAAGTAAAATTTCGAATTACCTTAGCAATAGGTTTCCTCAATGTTGGAATATAAACTTCATGTAAAAACCCATTTAATGTCAACCATTTATTTACAAATTTTTTTATATTAAAATTATTTTCTGTTTGTTCACAATTTAATTGTAATTTCGTTTTAAGTGCTGGGCCTGTTCCAAATACAGATTCACTCATTTGTTGTAAATCAATTTCTGACTGATTATTTAATGAAGGGGAATCGGAGTCTGTTTTGACTAATTGATTTCGGCTACTGCTTTCTTCCAACTTTTTTTAAATAATTTGAATTATTTTAAGTTAAATTAACTTTTCTTTTCCCAGATGGATGTTGTTCAACAATTTGTTTAGCAGAAGCAGCTGATGAAACAAAACGGTAACAATAATCAACTCCGCAAAACATATCACGATAACCAGCCTTTCTTCTCTTCAAATCTAGGGCAATAAATGCTGGATAGAGCATTATAATGCAGAGAACGTTGGATGTTAATAAAATGGCGGTCTATTAGAATTTTAAAGCTTTTTAAAATTTTTAAGAAAATGAAAACCTGTCCACAAAATGAACGAAGTGCTGGAATTGGTAAAATACAACCAGTGATAAAGGCAAGAATGTTGTTGATGGCTATAAAAATATATTTAATTTTAATATTTTTAAACAAAATTTACAAGTTATGAGGATAGACATTCCCGTCTCTTTAAGTAATACAGCCACTTCTTTTTCTTTAACAGCTTCTAATACATCATTATAATTATGAAGTAAAAGAAACATATCATCTATGCCAAGCCCCAAAGTAAGAAAAGGAACAATCTTTTTTGAATTAAAATTATTTTAAAATTAATTTAATCAAAACTTGAGTTGTTGCAGCATTGAAATTAATTCCCATGGCTGTGGCAACTCCCAGACCCGCAACTGAGGCAAAAGTAATCTGAAAATCTTTGTGTTTAATTTATTAAATAACGGTAAAAGTAAAGTTTAAAAAATAATGAAATAATGAGAGACAAAGGAAAAATACAAAATTCTATTAAAAATTAGGTAAAAAAGGTGTAAAATGATAGGATTCCTTCCATAAAATAATAATTTAAAATTACCATAAGTACACCAACAACAGCTAATAAACAACTAGAACGTGAAGAAAACCAAAATCCATCCCATTGTAATTGAGACCAACCAGCATAAATAATCATTAGAATATATCCTATAAATATTGTGCCGAATTGGAATTCGCTGAATTGTTCTAACCTGTGAAAATTTAAAAAATTTCAAATATAAAATTAAAAATCCAAACATTTCTGAAATTGATGTGGAAGCTAATGGATGGACAACACGAATGCCTTCACTCTAAAAAATTTAAAAATTATTTTAAAAAATTTAAATAAAAAACCGGTTTATTCAATTCATGTTCATATAAACGTTTAGTAAAGCTTCTCTGCCATGTCTGAATAATAACAGAAGCGTGGGTTGTAGTAAAATGATTTTTATCAATTTTAGTTTTATAATTTGGTGATTTGGCATGCTAAAAAATTAAAAAAATAATTTTTAAAATCGTTTAAAAAATCCTACAGAAATTCTGTGTTGAACATCCCCAGCTGAAGCAACTAAGAAAACTGTTTGGAATCCTTCTGCGTGTCGAATAAATCCGTTAGAGTCCCTCTCAATTCCACCAACAATTAAATCTTCTGGCCAGTGCATTACTTGAAAAAAAATTTAAAAATAAATTTTTAAAGGAAAGAAAAAATATTGGGAAGGGAGGAGAGGCTGATTGTGATTTTAAAATACAAAAAATTCCAATATCTATTTTAAATAAAAAGATACGGGCAATATTTTGACCTAGCTCTAGGAAGGGAAAAATACTTTGTATTTACTAATTAATTTACTATTTTTTCCAAATCCTTTACATCCACCAGTCAATTGTTCACCATAATTTGGATATTGAGGTAAAATTAATTTATCAGATTCTGACAAAAATTCCATCAATCTAGTTCTATTTTCATTAATCCATTTCATAAAACTAATTCCATATTTATTACATTCCTCCAACATTTGCCTTTGTAATTTCTTTTCTAAAAATTATTAGTATAAATTAGAAAAAGGTTTTGATTATCAAAGAATAAATAACTAGATTAATTTTAATTTTATTTATTTAATTTTATTTATGTGATAAAAAAGTAACCGGGCAGTTTATTTGTGGCCTAACTTTGTTCATCTTATAAAAAATTGGGATCAAATCAAGGCTATATGATAAAGAATTAAACAGGGAATAGATATTATCAAAAATTTTCGAAGTGCCCTCCCTTTTCTCAGATATAAAATTGAAACTGTGCAGAAAAATTTTAAGCAAAAGTTCGCACCACCTTGAGTGTGAGATTTTTTCCCATTCCTGGGCTAGTGATTGACGAAGCGATTGCTTTTTAATTTTATTTAAAAAACCTGGGGATTCCGTAGTTTCAGATTTATCATCATCATTGTTATCATAATAATCTGCCAAATCATCTGTTGTTGAATTATTTGAAGTATTAGAAAATAAATTTAAAGAATTATTTGTTGCTGTTACTTCTCTTTTCCTTAAAGGCTTTGAAATTTCTTCTTTTTTAGAAATTTGTTCCAATTTTATTTTATTTTGTTCAGGCAAAGCATTATTCCATTCTTTAAATTTTGCATAAGCACGACAACGATCAAAATAATTTGGAGCAGAAGATGGACAGTCAGGATCGAGTGGGTCAATACAAGGACGGTCTTGGTAAGCAGCGCCAATACCTGCCTTAAAAGTAATTAAATAAAATTTTATAATAATGAATGGCAAGGGCGTAGTCAGGGGGTCGATTTCAGGGGGAAAAATGGGGGTGTGCGCCAAACTCTCAGGCTACGCCCTTGCTGGATGCCAAAAAAACTTTGGGTGAAATGTGTAAATTAGTCTTAAAAATAATTTAAAAAAATACTAAAGTTTTTAATTTAAACTAAGTAGCTGTCAACTAAATTTATTTAAAAAATAAAAAAATAAAATTGATAGAAAAATTGAGTTAAAAAATAAAAAAACTTTGAAACGTTTCATTGAAAAAGCCCAGACGAAAATATATTTTTACGTTTTATTTTAAAAAATAGTAAAACTAAAATAAATATTTAAAATAAAAAAATATTTACCCTTTCAAATAAATCAGAAACCATAGTAACATCAATAAGTGAACGAACTGAATTAAGTAATTTTTCTGGATTTAATGTTTTCCATGAGAGAAGGCCGTTAGAGACTGAAGGAACAAATTGAGCAGCTGGACCTCTAAAAAATTTATTAAAAAATATTTTAAAATAATATGCCAAAAAATCTACAAAACAAATTTTTAGAAAATCTCAAAAATAATTCAGAATTCAAAAAATATTTCCAAAAATTATAAAAAAATAACGTAATGTTCCCTAAAATAAAGTTTAAAAAAAACAAACAAATCGAGCGGAGGAAAAGGCCCCAAAGGTTTAGAACCTTCCCAAAAACAATCTATAGGTGTTATCCAAACACAAGGAATTATTTGTGCCATTATTTCTTCAATTAATTGCGACAAAACATCTTTTGAGGCTGTGGGAGGTGGCGGTTTGAAGCAAATATCAGACAAATACCAAGTCCTAAAATTGAAAAATATGTAAAAAATTACGAGACGAAAATTAAAATAATATAGAGTCAAAACCAAAGTCGTGGACAGCGAGTATATTTAGGGAGGAGGGGGTTAATTTTTTTCCAAAGTAAATTTTGTCGTTTACTTTGGCGTTTCGTAGAGAGTTTATATTCATTAGTAACCTTCCCTTAAATCCGCATACTACAATATTTCCACGGCATTATGACGTAATTTTTACCTCTAATGATACTTTTAACGCCAAAAAGTTAACAAAATATTAAAATTTATAATACAAAAAAAAACTAACTCTCCAAAAACTTCTACACTATAATTAGCAATTTGTTCCAAAATATTAACATGTTTAATTAACGCTTCTCTTGTAAGCATATTCATATTTGGGTGTTCTGGTGTTTGAATTACTACCTTTTTTAAACAAAAAAATTTCATTAAATATTTATTTTAAGAAATTTTTCAAAAGGAGAGGGCCATAAAAATATTTAAATCATTAAGAGAAGGATTATAAAATTAATTAAATAAAAACCTGAAAACCTCCTCCAAAATTAGCCGAATCTGTCGGAATTTCAGAAACTCTGACGGCCTCTCTCTTTTTATTTTTTCTGTGTTCTTCAGTTCCATTTATTTGTTTTTCTTCTCTTAATTGTTTTTGTAAATAATATTTTTCTTTCGACTTTGGCAAAAATGCCATTTCTTCATCTAATCTACCTCCTTCTAAAAAATATTGAAATTTAATTATTTTATATTTAAATAATTTTCTGATTAATTTAGACTTTTTTTAGCAAAAAAAATTTTTCTAAATAATTTTGTGTGTTTTAAAAATAAATCAAAATTTCGACACAAAAATTAAAAAATAAAAAAATTAAAAGGTGTAGAAGTTCAGAAAAAAAATTTAAAAAATTGTTGTATATAAAAAATAAAGACAATTTTTTAATAAAAAATTCAAAATTCCTTACGTTCTACCCACAGTTTAACCAAATCCGTTTCAATTTTAACATCCTTTAGCCAATAACAACAAATTAATAAAACAATAATTCCCAACACAATAATTGATTTTGGCCATTTTTGAACAAATTTGCCCAAATGGAAAAGGGCTTTTTGGAAGAGAGCACGGGAATATAAAGCTAGTCTGTTGCCATAAGCATTGCCCTAAATTTTTTAAAAATATTTTTGAAAAAATTTTGAAAATATTTTTGTTTTTAGAAAACATACCCAAAAAATTTTCTCTGAAAATAAAAATTAGAGATCGAGCTGGGTCTGGTCCAAGGCCTGGGTTTTTCAGTACCCAGAGTCCAGGCCTGGGCATTTTTTGACCTTCCTGTGTTTTTCCTAAACTACAGGCCCAGGCTTTTCAAAAAGCTCGATCTCTAATAAAAATTTAAAAACAAATCTAAAAAGAAAAAAATTCCCTCACAGAATTAATTTGTTGAAGGCACATATCTGCATCGCACCAAGACGGATGTTTCGAAAATTTTTTCCTCCATGCTTTTGAAAAATCTGAAGGATCGCTTTTCCCAACAAGTAAATTATCGAAAAACTAAAAAATAAAAATTAAATTAAAATTAAAGAAAATTACTTTAATTTGTTTAAAATTAAATATTTTAATAAAAATAATAAAAGGAAAATAAAATAAATTTAAAAAATTATTTTTATTTTTTAAATTATTTTTTTCTAACAAATTTTGAGTAATTTCATTATTTAAATTTTGGAGATCTTCTTTACTGACTAGCATTTAAAAGAGGTAAATAATTAATTAGGCATTTAAAAAATAATTTTAAAATTAAATTTGAAAAATTAAAAATCAAAAAAGTCAGACAGTCAAAAATATTTTTCTCTAAATTACAGAGAAAAAATAAAATAACAGAATGCCAATTTATTTATTTTTGACAAGAAATTAAAATAAATTACCGTATTTCCTTTATACACCCCATGGGGCTCTATTTTTTTAACTGTTCTCCAGAATGGGGCTCTATTACAGGGTAGGGCTTTATTAGAGGGTGGGACTCTATCGCGGAAATACGGCATGTACTATCTCCTTTAATAAATAAATACATAAAAACTTTAGAAAAAACTCGATGTTTCGATACTTTTTTAAATTTACTTTTTACCTAAAAATTTGATAAATTATTTTAGTCTACTTATGTACATTTTTTATTTTGCTGCTTTTCTCTTCTTTCTTTCGTCTCCTTCGACGACATTCACTGCTTCTACCGGTTGTAGTAATTGACATTGTTGTCATAAATGAAGGTTGTTGGTGTTGTTGATGTTCATTTGTTGTTGAATGAACTTTTATTGTTGAAGGGATCATTTTTAATTAAAAAATAAATAAATATTTAGATTTTTCTGTAAATTAAAATAAAACTTTTTGGAGATGTCAGTAGCATTAGCTTATAAAATAGATAAATTACTACTCCAATTTATGGACATTCTCAATAAGTTCTCTAATGATTTTAGAATTTTTGGGTAAATAATAGGGAAATTATTACTGAAAATATTTTTAAAAAACTCTTGACGGATCTCCAAAAAAATCGTTCAAATTTTATTTAGTAACAAAAAATAGTTAAAAATTCTTCTCGTTTAGCAATAAATATAAACTTGACAATAAATGAGTGAATAAAAATAATGAATGGAAATGATTGTGTTAGCGGTGATCGGAGAAGAAAAGAAGGGGTATTACAAAGGCGTTAGAGGGAGAGAGAGGGTTATAAAACTTGCTTGATTTTGTTGAAGATTTTTTTTGTTTTACGTTATAATTTTTTTATTAAAATATTTAAAGAATATAAATATTTAAAGAATATTTTTTAAGTAAAAATTAATTTGGCAAAAAACAATAATTTTAAATACTAACATAAAAATGAATACAAATATTGAGAGAATGGGAATAAATTTAATCGGTTATTCTTTTATTCGCCCGTAAGCTACTTAATTAAAACTTCAAAAAATATCATTAACCTACCATACTCTAAAATAGGCCCTCCTAAAATACTATATTCCCTCTCTATAGACTAAGTTAAGGGATCCACTCAAAACAAAAAATCATATGCGATTTTTTGTCATGCCGAACCGTAAGCTCATTCTCGTATTAATTTAACTCCCCTACAGCTAATATTTAATTTAAAAAATTTTTAGGCTCACAAAAATACCAAAATAAAATTTTTTGATGAGAAATTGATTGATTTATACATATTATTATTATTATATCCCTTTCGTTGTATTTTTTGAATAAATAAATATTCTAAATAAATCCAATTCACCAAAAACTCTCCGAAAAATTATTTTTTCTCTCTACCACAAATTTACACACAAAAGCCGCCGCCATTCACAAAAAATCCTTTTTTAAATAATAACTACCTGGTTTAAAATATATTTTTGGATATTGTGCGCTTCTTTTTCTAATATTTTTTCTAATGACCCGGATCGGCAACTAAACAAGTAAAAAATAAATAAATGATAATAAAAAATAATAATGATCAAAAATGATATTATACATATTTATTTTATATATAATATCACCGAAATTTCTGCGCCGAAAATTTCTTAGCCGCAAGTGTCAAAATAGGGGCGAGCCGCGAGTGTCTGGACCGCAAATGTCTGGGCCGCAAGTGTACGCGCCGCAAAAGTCGGCCAATCTAAATAACGAGTAAGTATTATTAAATATTTAATTAAATACAAGTTTAAAAATTTAAATAAATTTAAGTGATAAAATGGATTAAAAAAGTTTAAAATGATTTTTAAAATTAATAAATGATCCAAGGAAATAGGATGGAAGAGAATTCAATTCTTCATTCTCCCCTTACTTCTAAATAAACTCCTTTTAATTTTAAGAGTTATTTTCATGTTTAAGTTCTAAGTTTAACAATCTAGATTTAAAAAATTAAATAAATATATTTTATATGATTCAATATATATTTACAGCAGTTGTATATACAAACAGTTGACAAAAATGACTAAAAATAATATTTATTTTTTGGATTGCGAAGGAATTTTTATTAAAATAAAATGACTAAACACTAAAAAAGCGAATGATTGGCGCCATAACTTCTAGAAAATATAAATTAATTAGTTGTGATACTTTCTTTGGATATTTTTTGTTTAATTAGAATTCTATTGTTGTTTAGCTTTATATATTCACGTAAAGTATTTGCAACTTAAAAACTCCTCTCCAATTTTTTCCTATTAATAATTGACCTCTTCACGCAATATAAAAAAAAAGTAAAAAATAGATATGTATATAATAAATTTTTTTTAATAAAAATAAATAAAAATATTTAAAGTTATTTAAATGTAATCATTTAAAACGTGGATTTTTAGCAATAAAATTGAGTATTTTTTGAGCAATATTTGGTTATATTTTTAGAATAATATTATTTTTAAATTGATTTTAAAAGGAAAAATAAAATTAATAAACTAATAAATTAAAATTTAAAAATTAAAATAAAAAATTTAAAAAAAACAAGAGTGGTTTTTGTCCTCGATATTTTGAGTTTTCAAATAAATAAGAAAATTTTTATGCTCAATGACACTTTCATTCAAATATCTTTAAAATTTGCTTAATGTTAAACCCCTAATTTTACAATTAATAAAATTCTATACATATATTTTATTATTCAGAAAATTTTTAAAATTAATTTCTGATATATAAAAAATAAAAATGTATAAAAAAGTATTTTTTGAATGAGCGGTAAAATAACAAAAAGAAACAAAAACTAGAAAGAAAAATCCTTTAATGGTTGCATGATTGCGTAAATATATTTTTTAGTTAACTTTAACTAACTACTTACTATTTATACAAAAAAAGGTAGAAAATATTTAAATTAAGAATTTAGAGAGAAATTTTTGAAAAGAATTGAAAATATATATGTAGTATTTTAAATTTTTTGTAATAAATAAACATTGAAAATCCAAATAAAAATATAAAAACTTGTACATTATTTAAAAATAATTAGACTAATAGTGTTTAATTATTTGATCTAAACTTGCCATAGAATTTTGGAAAAGAAACTAAATAATCAAAAAATAATTATAACTGGACTCTGCTCGGGAACAGAGTTGCGTCGTAATCAAAAAATTTTTTCGTAATCGTAATTATCTAAAGCTGTCAAAAATGTCAAATCCAAATTCATTAATTTCCCCCAAAGAACAAAAATTCTTCCCCAAAATTCTAACAATTTTTAAATAATTTTGGATAGAAAGAATGAATAGGTAGGTATAAATATATTATTTAGTCGCAGAAAAGTCGTGTAAATAGCGCAAAGCGGAACCGCCGCCATCAACTCAACAATGTCGTCGACAATGTAAAACTTTATATAATTTGAGTTGATAGACAGGAAATGAGTAATGAATGTATGTTGTAGAAGACAAGAAGATTTTAAAAGAATTTTCAGGTGAAAAGATTAAATTTGAAATTAAAAGGTTAATCTTTAAGGGATTTAATATTTAATTAATTCTAAATAATTTTATTAAGTATTAAAAACTAAAAAATTTATCCACATTCAAATAAAACTTTTAACAATTAATCCCCCCCCCCCCTCTCCTTCAAAATCAGAATTACCAATTCATTTTTAACAAAAAAAACAAAAAAAGCAACACACCAAAACTTTTCTTTTTAACCCATCAAAGCAACAAACAAGCAAAAACAGGTAAAGCAAAAATAACATTACTTCTTTACTTCCTTACATTCACAAAATTTCCCGCAGAGAAACATAAAATAAAAGAAAGCTTTTTTCATTAAACTAACAAATAAATAAAATTAAATAAAAATATTTTTATTCTTTATTTTCTTTTTATTTAAATATTTTATCTCTTTCTTTAAAATAAATTGTTTCGCATAGATAAATTAGAAACTTAAAATTTACAAAAAAAAAATTTAAAAATTAACTTTATTTTAAATAATTTAAATTATTCTAGACTTAAAAATAAACTACATAAATTTTTGTAATAAAAATTTCTTTATTTTCTTTATAAAAATTATTTTTGTAATAATTTAATGAAGAGAAAACGTTTCTAGTTAAAAATATATTTTTAAATAATTATAATACATAAATTTTAAAAAAATTTAATTAAGAATTTAATAAGTTTTGTGAAAATAATTTTTAATTTAATTATTCTAAAAATAAAAAAAAATTATTAAAATATATTTTCGCAACACAAAATATATTTATTTATTTATTAAATCTCGTTTTTTTGGAATTAAGAACATTCCTTTTTTAGAAAAGGAAAGATTTAATCTAAAAATATTTAATCTAAATAAAGGATTAAATATTATATTTTTAGAAAAATAAATTAAAATTTTGAGGATTTTTATTTAAATATTTTGTTTTTTAATAAAATATTTAAAAAATATTTTTAGTATTATAACACATTGTTAGGAATTTTTAGAATGATTTTATTATTATTAAAAATAAAGGGACGAAGAATGACCGCCAAAATAAATTTAATAAAAAGTAAATATTTTAATAAAAATAAAAAATTAAAAGAAAATAAAATCAGAATTTAATAAATGAAATAAGTAGACTGGTCAAATTGTTAGATAAATAATTTTAAAAATTTTAATTGGAAATACTTTAGTTTAGACTTTCATTTTCCTAACTGTTCGAATCGTTAAATCAAACCAATAATGGTAACATTTACCCAACTCGAAAAGGTCTTTAGAATGATATATAACAGATTACCTATATGTATATCAAGCAAAAAAGACTCAAAATGGTCAGCAAAACAGGAAAAAAGTAGGGGCTCTAAACCAAAATATTGCCCTTAAATTTTAGTAAATTATTAAAAAAATTTTAAAAAACAAGAATATTTACTATTTATTTCAAGAATTATTTTCACGCCTTTAAAAATAATTATTGTAGCCTTAGGGTATATTTAATTAACAAAAAAAAACAACTTTTTAGATTGATCATTGATTTTTTATAAAATAATTAATTATTTGAATTGACAATAAATAAATAAAAATAAATTTTTTGATTGAAAAAAGAAAGCTTTTCTCTCTTTTCTCTCTTAAAAATCGCCGCGCGATTTTTTCTTTTATTTTCTCGTGAAGCAGGAAATTGTTTTGAGGGATTTTATATTGGGGGATAAAAATAAATAGTTTGGG